CTCCCTTTTTTCCCCCTTCGCAAATCATTCAGCATCCTTTCTGTCTTCCTCCATTCCCCCGTGTGTGAAATCAATCTTCCAGTTGGTTGAACATCTTTCTGAGTGGTCACTTTCACACTGGTCAGTTGGCCTCTTCTGGACCAGCCTGACCCGTCTCACATAGTGGTACACATAAGTCCGTCTGGTCGACCGAGATCATTCGATCGGTTCGGATCGGATCGGATGAGAACCTCAGACAAAAACTGCACAACAAATAGTGGAATGCATTGGGGGCATACAGGCAGACCGGCCAACAAATGCATGCACACAAACAGACATACATGCACTTACTTGTTCACAAACAGATAGGCGTACACGTACATAATTATATTATTATACGCTCGCAAACTGACAGGCAGACACACACAAACGCTCACACAAACACACAGACAGACACATACTCTCTACCAGGATAGTAGGAGAAGGTGGGAAGCTGATAACAAGAGTGGAGTCTACACTTTCCTAAGCCTCCCACCTTCTCCCCAGCCTGGTCACTCAAGTGTGTTTTTCCACGGCTGTTGACAGCCACGAAGAGATAATACACGACACATTACGTTCAATTGTTAAAATGTGTCATGACGCGTTGGAATCAGGCGCTCATCAATTTTTGGGTGTGTCGATTCATTCGTATCATCTTAAAGCTTGATTAATTTTTTTGGGCCTTGCTTTCGAGGTAAAAAATACCCATCTATTTTGAATAAAATTGGGGATATTTGCGTTTGAAGAAGCAAGGGGTCGCTTGGTTTCAGGGGTAAAATTCACAAGGAAATGGCCGTCAAAGTTTGGTGACCTCCATAGCTTGAATGAAAGTCATCCGAATCTAAAAATCTAGATCTACCTTTTCTGTGCCTATGAGCAACGTTTTTCAGTGACGTCTACACACGAATGTGTTTTTAAAATTGACACTAGACATGTTGAAACAAAAGCTAAAATTCGATATACATTCCCAACCCTGCGGAAAAAAGCCTGCTTCATCGATTTCATTATTGTGACAAGCGCCTGATTTCACTACGATGCCTCATAAATCATGAAATCCTCCCCCCTCCCTCTCTCTCTCTCTCTCTCTCTCTCTCTCTCTCTCTCTCTCTCCCTCTCCTCCCGCCCCGAAAGAAATGCTTTGTGGACTAAGTGCAGCTAAACAGCTTGCCGACGACATATGCAATGAGCCTGGCTTCTGTAAAGATTCATAATATATCGTCGCCTCAAAACTTGTTTTGTCCAGAATGCCTCTTTACTTACGTACACTTTGGACTGAATAGTTCTAAGACGCCGATATTGCATTTAGTTGTTAATGTAAGGAAACCGTTTCTTCTTTTTCCTGCTCCCCTGCCCAACTCTTTTCCCGTTCTTTTCTTTTTCTCTTTTTCTCTTTAAACACGTTCATTTAAACAGCTTTCTCTTCAAACACTTTCATTTAAACAGCTTTCTCTTTAAACACTTTCATTTAAACAGCTTTCTCTTTAAACACTTTCATTTAAGCAGCTTTCTCTTTAAACACGTTCATTTAAACAGCTTTTTCTTTAAACACGTTCATTTAAACAGGTTTCTCTTTAAACACTTTCATTTCAAATGTCAACAGCTTTCGTGGGTGGTTGGCGGGTGCTCTGGTGTGGTTTGCTTCTTCTTTCCTATCAAACATCTATCGTCCGTATCGCCCCTTCTTCTGTTTTTATGTGTGTTACCCTCTTGTAACACCTCTAATCTTCCGGCGCTCATAATTAGACCTTATGCAGTTGCGAGCGCCGTAAAACCTCTACTATTAAAACTAAACTAAGACAGCTTTCCAGCAACATGCACGATGAATTTGGTGTCTACTGCCCCTCATCAGCTCCCCGCTCCTCCTCCACTGGTCACCCAAGTGCGTGTTTTCCACTGCCGCTTTCGGCCAGGGTTAAGTGGGAGAGTAGAGCTAACTAATAGCGAAGCTACTACACCCTACGTAGGCTGTACTTTCTTTGCTAATAGAGTCTAGTTCCCCGGCGGCCACGTTCGCTCTCTGGTGTAGCGCGGTCGGTACCCGTGTGTTACTTAACTCCTTACAGTAGGCGGAGCACGTGGGTGGTTGGCGGGTGCTCCACTGTGGTTTGCTCGACCTTCTACGTTCTGATCTTCCCGAGCTTTCATTATTTATTTGTGTGTTTGTGTGTGTGTGTGTGTGTGTTTGTGTGTGTGTGTCTGTGCGCGCGTGCGCATGTGTGTGGTGGTGTGTGTGTTTGTGTGTGCGTGTGGGAGGGGGAGGGGGAGAGTATATTTTGTTACTCTCATGTTGCACTTCTAGATCGAATCTTCGGCACTTCCATTGCGGTGCAAATTCCTGACCAGAGTGAGAATGTGAGCATATGGTCCAATTTCATTTTTTATCCGTTGTTTGACTTCATCATTAACATTGTGACGTAATGTTTCCTTTGTATGAGATACCCTCTCTTGTGAACTGCTATTTCCGGGGTGTCGTGGTAGTCTAAGTGGACTTTGTGCTGTTGAAGCTAGAGAGGTGAGCAGAGTAAGCCTGATTCCCTGTTTGGACTTCACTCCTGGCACCCACCCCTTGGCGCTCATATTATGACATTATGCAGTTGCGAGCTCCGTAAACATCTTGTAAAGAGTTAAGGAAATCTGTTCTCTAGTGGTCACAGTGATGCGGCTTGGGGACTACTGACTACCCTGTCACTGTAGTGACCCCCGTTATAGCTTGTTTTGTGTCGAGGTCTGCCCGTGTTTCTTTATAGTGATTATGGATATTGCCTTTCTCTCTTGCTCTCTCTCTCTCTCTCTCTCTCTCTCTCTCTCTCTCTCTCTCTCTCTCTCTCTCTCTCTCTCTCTCTCTGCCCCTTTCATTTTCCCTTTCTCTCGCTTTCAAGTTCTTTACCAACTTTCTTCCCCCTTTATCTCCCTCTTTCTCTCTCACTGTGTTAATCAATACTAAATCCGTTTCTTTTCCTCCCTCCTCTCTGTTGTCCTCAATCTCTGTTCTAAGATACCTATCTATCTATCTATCTATCTATCTATCTATCTATCTATCTATCTATCTATCTATCTATCTATCTATCTATCTAT